GACTGGAGGAGTTTAGCGGTGTCGGAGGGCGGCGGGAGGTTGTCAGCGACCTGGCCGTAGTTGACGCCGATGAAGGACTGTGAGTCTGCAATCAAAGCAAATCGTTTCAGTGGGGTTTTTTCCTACTTACGAGATGAGGTAAGTAAGGGAAAGTTAGGTGGAATTCGAGCGGCTAATAACTGTGCTCTCATCAATTCATTACGCAAAACTTTAACAAATTTTTATAATTTTCTCGGGAAAGTGACACTTTGTCCTTTATTTTCCGGGAAAGTAGAAGTAATTACGTACCTGCAGAAAGGAAAGCGGTGAATAAGAGGAAGACAAGGAGGATGGGGAAGTGCGAAAGCGACGACGCCATGGACGATGACGATGAGGTCTGTCGACAGAATGGATACTGGTGAGAAGCTGTGTGCTGCTTTTGTGCAGAGTGCGGAAGACGACGGAGGAATATATAAGGAAGGACCGGACTTCAGACCCCAAAACAAACCAGATGAGGGTAACGGTAAGAAAGTAAGCAAGCTGACTCTGCACTCAAGTGCTCACGTGCGATGGGATCCCACCTGTCTCTCGGTCTTCTCGTTGACGCATGCCAAATATTTGTTAAAGCGTGTTAATTTTTTCTAACAAATGCTTTTTCGCATCAGAAATGTTAAGGAAGTACTCTTAAAATGAAATTTTTTGATACTTCATAGTTAATTTCAATTTTCATTCTAATATTATAAAATATTATGTAAAAAAAATAAGATAACGGGTAACCTATAGATAGTCCTATTTTTTAAAAAGTTTCCTTAATATTTCTCTTTCCGCAATTCGTTTTAACTCTCTGCCATTCTCTGTTGGCCTTTTCTATTTAATTTTAATTTTGTCTTTCTCAGTTTATTTCTTCAATTTAATGGCTAAAAAAGGTTAATGACTATTAACTCCAAGAAGAAATCGACTTTGATAGCTGATATATGAATAAAGATAATGCTAGGAACATTAAAATTTTAAATTAAATTTATAAGTTAAATGATATGTTAGTAATAAGAAACAAGCACGTTAATTGACACTTAATTAATAATTCAATTATTGACAACCATAGTATTTAATTTGCAAATTTAGTTTAAAATATTTGGTCTCCCTGAATGTTAACCAAATTCTTGTATTTAGATTCAATGTTAAAACCTTAAATTCTCATTGGAATAAAAACATGGGAGTTTGTTATTATCGTTCCCAAAAAATCGATGTGCACTCCTTCTTAGCTTTTTTTTTTTTTTTTTTTGGGTTCTATTGGAGGCGGGTGAACAAATACCAATTAATGCAACTTTCATATCGACAATGCTACCCCCATCTCTAACACTTTTATTACTATAGTATATCAAACACTTACTTTTTTTTCACAATTATTTATTATCATAGCATACCAGAAACAATTTTGAAAAAACATAACAATTCCAAACTAGGTATTAGTATTATATTCTCTTGGGATTGACGGGGCTGGAACTCTCAACTTCCACCTTGACTAAATTTTTTTATCAAATAAGGTCAAATTGTGTCAGCTAAAACCTTCACTCAATGAAACAAATTTAGCAAACCCTTGAACTGGATAAAGGTGTACTTGGGTGAAGTTGTTTCTAATGAGAGATAGGGACATCGGGGTAAGAGAAGAAAGTTGAGATTCCACTATAAAACCAATTGGCAATATGGGCATTAACCCAACTTACTTATAAGTCCATGCAAGATCATTCCTCCTATCAATGTGAGATTCGTTCTCAACCGTAAATACATGAGGTTTTTACTTTATTTTGAGTTTTTATCACAAATGATCTCTAAAATTAACCTAACTCATCACTGGACTTACTTTGAAAATCAATCAATTTCGTCCTTAAAATTGACCTAAAATATTAACTTGATCCATGTCATCTAGTTTCGTTAGATTTTCTGTTAGTTTGTTGATGCGGCAAGATATGGTGACCATCTCTAGATTTGAGTTTGGCAATTTTTTTGTTTAAGGAGTGAGTAAACTAGTGTTGTGCTCATTGACAATACTTGTATTTGGTAATTGGGAATAATGGTAGTGATTCTATAAAATTAACTATCGGAGTTTTTTTTATAACAATTTCATTTTAAGTGATCGTTGTAAAAAAGTTTCTAAAAAAGTAAATGTTGGAAAGTAGTTGGATTAGACTACTAGAGTTTTCGCACGCGGTGGCGTTTAGACTTTCACATTTGGCTGGGTGTTCGTCGGTCTTGCCTTTGGAGAATCTCAGCATCATCAACCCACCCACTCTGACGGTGGAAACATGGAATTCCAAGTGCAAAGGAACTTTTTGAACAAAGAAACTTCCCCGAGGGTAAACTAGCACTAGCACACCCGCAAAGTTCTTGTGTTTAAATTCAGGACAACAGCAAACATATTATCATTTATATAACCCTATTTGAATTACATGACTTGTGTTCATAAACATTTTTGTTGGAATTGTGATAATTTAGGCGTGAGGGGAGTTTCGAACCCGGGACACATAAGTAGAAACTCAATGCTCTGTCCACTAGGATATTAGATATTAAAATTGAAGTATTTCATAAAAATGTAACCGAAAGTATGACGACCCCATATTGCTTGAACTGGGTGCCGGCCTAATGTGCCTTCGGTGGAAGTGCTCTAAAGGGACATGTTTGAGATTGTTTTTAAAATGGTTAAATGCGTTTTCTGCAACCAAAAATGATGATTGCGTTTGATAGAAATTTGTAGAAGAACTGTACTTTATACAAGTGGTTTTAGGAGAAGAACTTGCCAAATGCTTCTTCAAGAAACACTAAAGCACTTGTAGTTTTTTAATAAAGAATTCAAAGTGTATATTTGAATCATTTCCAACTCATTGATGTTTAGTGGTGGCGATGGATAGAATGATGGTTGTTCTTCTAACTGCTTTTTGGAATACACTATAAAAAAAAAAACTTATGGACATATGAAAATACGTTTATCCGTGTTAAGATACTACCAACCAAACCTAGATGAGTATAACCGACAGATATACACACACACTGAGTTTCAGGTTTGTGTGTGTTATATGATGAAATGGAAGGATGTAACGTGTAACGAGGGGACCTCCCAAACTTGGATGTAACGTGTAACGAGTGGACCTCCTAAACTTGTGGGGTTTGCTTTGCTCAAGGAAGACTTGGTGAAGGACTTTGAGCTTTGCTCAAGGAAGACTTGGTGGAAGACTTGGTGAAGGACTTTGAGCTTTGCTCAAGGAAGACTTGGTGAAGGACTTTGAAGTACACTGCAGTGAGTTGGTAGCTGTAATACGTCTGCACTAATGGATGGTTATGGAAAAGGCCACGTAAAAACTTGAGGACTTTATGCAATCTCTACCGGTTGGTGAAAGCAACGGCAAAAGCAACAATGTTGACCTCCAACCCCAAAAATCCTCTCTAGCAGTCCATAAAGCAAAGGCAATTGGTGAGCCAACCACTGCCTCCTAGAGCTCGAAACGCCTTATTTCATTTCGTACAAGGGTGACTTATCATATTTAGAATCGCTCTGCAGTGTGATCTGTTTACTATTCTTTCGTACTCTTCTTTTTACCACGCGATAGATCAACGAAGCGTGAACGGGCGTGGATAAGGAAACGGCAAACACTTTGACCTCACGTGAATGAGCAACGACTCCGGGCACCCCCAAAGAAGGGTCGAAGGTTTTGGACTTGTAGGGGGAGGGTGAGGGGGAGCGGGGGAGGTCTCGGGGGTTGGATTTGAGGTCACATGACAACTTTTCGAGGTTGCAATCACAATTGTTTGTGGTTGAACTTGAGCGCAAACCATGGCGAGAAAAAAAAAAAAAACAAATCAAGAATTTGAACATACACAATAAAAATAAATTAATTGGATGTGTAGCGTACCAACTCAAATGCATCAAATCTAATTCGAACTCCAAGGTTAAGTGAATTAGGCCGAGAATAATACTAGAATGGGTGACCTCCTAGTAAGTCCTTTTAAGTTTCATTCAGCTAGCACCTCTAGTCTGTTAGATGAATAAAAATTTCATCCACCTTAGATTTTTCAAATGTGAATATGTCCACAAATGGGAAACGTGAACTTACCTAATGAATTGGACGAAAGTGAAATCAGAACGAAACTGCAAGGACAAAACTGTAGAGATGAAAGTTAAAATCCAAGTTTATTACAGGGAGGGATGGCAACGGTTCGATTTGGAAATGGAAATGCTATATCCATCTTCATAACCACGAAAATTAATCATATCCATACCCGCAAATTAACCATCGGGGATTATCCATAACCATATCTACCGGGTAACGGATTTTCAATCGGATATCCGTTATATCCACTTCATCAAAAAAAAAAAATATTTATCCAATTGACGCATTATAAATTTTAGTAGATACTAATTCCGTCATTAAATAGTAACATCCAATTACAAAAAACTAACAATATATTTGAAGTTGTTCATGATAACATGCACCAATTTCTTGATAGTGAGGCTCTTGAAGAGAGATAAATCTGATAAACTTGTAATATTTGATAATTGATATATAAAATGATTCAACGAATTAATTTAGTTGAGTATAACAATAAGAGTATTGAATTGATGAGGTTGTTGGTATGCTCCATGCATGATGTTTGGTGCTTAATAAAGATAGTATAGGGTTTGATGCATGCATAATAAATTAGTATAGGGAGAGTTCGGTAAATTGAATAAAATTATATTATATATCAAATATATATATATATATATTTATATATTTAGGTCGGATTCGGAGACGAATACGGATTGAAAACCCCTATAACCATATCCAAAACCATAACCGAATAAAGTTCACGGTTTTTCCCCATATCCATACCAAACCCGAATTTTCATATCCAAATCCAATCCATTCAGACCGTTATCCACGGTTATCGGATTTAACGGTTAGAATTGCCATCCATTGGACGACTAGTACAATTTAACCTTAAAGAAACGTAACTATTTAGAAAGTACAGCCAAACACATCTCAAAATAATGTCGAAAGTAACTACAAATATATGATCAAGAACAAAAAGATTGAGATAATGTATTACAAGAGCAAAAGTGCTAATTCCAGCTCACTCGCAATTGCGAAAAAACATCGCTACAACACTCATCTAGAAACAATCTTCCAAAAACAATCATGCAAAAGAATCTCATTTTCCATGAGACATGTAAATCAATCACCTGGTTTGATAATCCGACAAACCACCGGTGAGATTGATAAGAGCATAACCCACAAGGCTGGGAATGTGTCACCCTTATAAAATGAAAGCAATTGAACAAAGGAGAAAGTAGAAAGAAGAACAATAAAAAAGCCAATCCTCAATCCATCCTAGTATTTTCTTCTTCAAGTACGAGATAATTGGTATAAAAAGAGTCCAAATTACCCTCCGGCTGAGTGAGAGACTGGAGTAGTTTCAAAGCGACCGTCCTTAAACATATGAATAAACTGTTCCGGCAAAGCATGCTCCTCCTGCAAGATAAAAAGTGATAAACTCAAGAAATCACATAACATTTAGTAATGCATGAATTTAGGAAGGATCCTAACAGTCAGAAAGTACATGCAACGGTTGCAACCCCTTATTATATCATACTCCAAATAAAGAGAGTAGAAAGTGAAAAAATAGATTTAATGGAGTGAAAGGAAGTATCAGCTTCATGGGAGCAAGATAAGAGATAACGAGAGTATGTACCCAAAAGCTTTTGGTGTACTGGTAAGTTAAAATATCATAGGCAACAAATACTAACCTACAAAACCCAAACCTAAATATCATAGGGTACCAACAGATAGGCTTGCGTCTTAAGGCTCTTCTGTACAAGCCTGCCATAGCTCATACAACAAGGCATTGCAAACCAATATCATCATCCAACTAAAAGAACATAGTATTCCTAGCATTAATTACGTGAACCAACTAACCCTAAATCCCATGTTCCCATCTAAGTTACCGGCGAAGTGGCTGGAAATATTTAAACAGGATTTGAAAAACACTAGTACTTCATATATTGAGCATCTACACAAGAGATGAAAAAAGCTTTCAGGCAACTAAAGGACAACTGTCTAACTGTTGCATACTCCGCTTTTTACATTGAATATAAAAAGGTAGCTTAAATTTCAAGCAGAATTGTGTATTATTTATATACAATAAGGTCCGGATATTAATACAATTCCTCTAATTATTCTTTGCAATACAATACTTCAGTAAATTTCGATTAATTTATCATATTTTCGTTTAGTTTTAATTTTGTCTTATGAAATTTCATAAAAAATAAGGAGTCTTTATGTCATGTTACAGAGGGCCTTGTTTCAGAAAAATCTGTGGTCTGGGGGCTTTACCGGGACTAACTAGTAAAAAGCCTAGAGTCGGAAACGATCTTAGAAACCAATCGCGCCCCGAAAAAAATCCTCAATATCGTATTCGTTTAGAAGAAAAACAAAAATTAATTTCAAGCAGAATCGTGTACAACCTGGGTAATATAGTCAGTAATGGATTAACAAGCTACTTCTGCAAAGCATTTAGTAAACGTAAAATTTGAACCATCTCTACAAATAACATATGTGGATATGCTCCCCAGACCTAACAAGTTTACCGTGTCGTAGGCCAATTATTTATCATAGAACCATCTAAACAACTAGCTTGCATTCCAAGATAACTTGGAAGTTGCAGGGAAGAACAATCAAGCAAGTCTTGAAAAGAATCAAATAAATATAAAATAAAAGACAAACATGGAGCATACCCAATCACCATCAGCTCCAGAACTGGGTACCAATATATTGACCTCACTGGACTTAGCAGTTGTTATAGATGCCCCCAGAGCATCTTTGCTCAAATAAAATTGACAGCCAGCTGTGTTGTCCACTGAAACTGTAGGAGCGGAGCCCTGGAATAGCATACGATGAATGAATATAACAAAGATCACAAGATGATTTTATATATCACCATATAAGAAGCCACTGAATGGTGATATTTGGGATGATAAATGTTGCCAAAATTCAATTTTCATGTCCTAGAGTCAAATTGCATATAGGCTTTATAGCTAAGATCATACAGTGGTTTTATATAGCATTATAAATGAAGCTACTGCATAGAATTATGATTGGCAACACTGGAAACATCCACCTTCATGTCTTAAAATCGCTGAAAGTTTCATGAGATGAATTCTAACCTGGCATTGCACCTCAACACGGTTGCAATTTACGATCTCACAAGCAGCCACAACATCCTTTGTTCACAAGAGAACACACAATTAGCACAGATACATCAATATGAATTGCTTCATTACTAATCTTACACTAACCGTAAACAGGACTCCCATGCTAGCGCATTTGTCAATGGTAATGTTGTTTACTTTCCCTGCACATTGTGCAAATAATTGTAAGTTCACATGATTCTCTTACAATGACCCTACTACTTTCTTAAACCTGACAGCTACCTATTTACATACGACATAAAAGTTTGTAAGGAAAGGCAATTTAACGTTTAATATGTTTATACAATTGAAAATAAGGTTTTTCATACTGTTAAAGTACCTTGAATTTGAAGAACAGAATCTTTGCACCCAAAAATATATACAGACTGTTTCGAATCACATTCACTAATAACCAAATCTTTCTTCGCAATCTGATTCTCAACAACCCACCTGCCAGGGTATAACATGACATAAAACAAAATCACTTGCTGCTTTTACTCCCTCACATGAAGTTTTAAACATAGTAGAATGATCATATGTACTCACTTGCGACCCATTTGGAGCTCAAACTTTGGTGGTTCTACTTTAGCAACAGCAGGTGAACTCGTACGACTTTCCTTCTCATGCGTACCAACAACGCCACTTCTGTCAGCACGATTCTTTGTCTTCATATCAGCTGTCACCTTTCTCAGACCTAGGGGACACAAAAACCAAATCAGCAGTGTCCAACATGTACAATTTAATGACAAGAATAAAAATTACCTGAAGTCACAGGCTTTCCAGAATTAATCTCTTGGAAAACAGCTGCCATCCCTTCTTTGGAGCGAGATGATGAAGCCTGTGAAGTTTCGGAGCTAAAGAGTGATGCTGATGGAGGAGGTGGAGGAGCAGGGGCACCTGGTGCAGGAGCTTTTGGTTTTGAAGAAGCAGCAGTTACAGCTTTTCCGGTTGAACTCCAAACTGGACCCAATGGATAGAAACTCTTAACATAATCTCTTAAACCAGGCAAATACAGTTCCTTGAGAGCTTTGGCCCACTCTAAATGATTTGGGTCTTTGGTTTTATACTCCACAAGAATCTGTATAATCATGAATTACTGAGTCAACACCCACTCACTGTAAAACTTTACTTTGATGCAATCATTACACGATTGGTGATAATTGATAAGTACTGCAAGAAAAAGGACCTGTGTGCAATTAGAACATGTGATTCCAGGACATGCAGTTCCTTTTATATAAATTACCCGATTCTTACAGACGTGCATAGTACCTTGTTGCAGTAGAATTCAGCCATCTGCCAACTTTCTTCGACATGTGCAATAGGCATGCTCATACCTTGAAAGAGACAAAGCACAATAAGGCATTGGAAACATAAATGAATTTTCATCTGTCAGTAATGCAATATAGCACCGATTTATTTTCCTTACCACATTCCTTCCCTGTATAAGCAATCCATGCCAAAGCTGAGAGACTGTCAGCAGCAGTCTTCAAGTGATTAAAAAAATCAGAGCGCCTCCCTTCTGTCAAAGAATTTGCCTTTGTGATGGCCTCGTTCAGTGGTTTCAGAAACTCAGCTAACCCTGCATTGTCAGGTTTCTGCACAACACAGAACAATCCAATTAACATAATTATTTCATTTCACCAGCAAACTTACAAGATATGGTGCAGTTAAACTAAGTAAACTCTCTCACTCCTGCTACTATCAACACTAAAAATATCTACAGAATAGCATCATCAATCCTTCAAACTACCCCCAAAAGATAGCAACACTAAATTCTGAACAGAAAATTTCATTGTGCAAAAGTATTTTGAGAAAGAGAAAAGGAAAGCACGAGTGCGGTATACCCTTACAGATTCCTTTACCAGTTGATCTTTTCGTGATTTTCCGCTAACATTTCGTTGTTAATTTGCTATGGTAAGGCAACCAGATGTTGATTCCATCTTTCAAAAGCTTGTAACTTTTAATTATTCTTATTTGATATTGAAAAAAGTACATAAACATCGGATCCAAACCCAACAAGACAGCACATCTCATTCAATGTCCTTTACACAATCAATCACATTTACGACCCGATTAAAACATCTAGCATCAAATACACTGTTTCTTAACCTCATCTCATTTTACATTTATAAATCCGAAACTTTCAACACCCAATGAAACCAAACAATAAAAAACGAAAAAGAAAATCCCAAAAACACAAAGGCATCACAAGCGAGACTGACCTGAGTTTGCTTAACCTGGATAAGCAGGTCCTTCTGAGTAGAAAAAGCTTGCTGGAGAACCTTGGTGATGTCCAGCACCTGCCCCCCAATCTTCTCAGCTGCGGCCGAAACCCTACCCAGGTACTGCCCAATCAGATCCTCATAAGCCACAATCGACGGATCCAGCGGCGCATCCTCGAAACCCCGGGCTGTCGCCGACCCTCCACCACCGGACAGCGACAGCGCCTCTAAGCGCGACACAGCCGATTCCAGCCTCTGTATCAGCTTCTCCTCCATAGCCACAAACCTCAACCGCACTCTCTCTTCCACACTCCCTGTATTTCTCTCTCTACGGTTAGATTAGATGCGATTATTTGGTGCTTTTTTCTTTATTTTTGGAATTTTTTGGGATTTTTCTTATTTTCTGACGCTGAAAGGTGAAGGGGGAATTTTGATTTGGCGGGTGTTAATCCGAGCCTTCCCGGTTTCTTTGGGGCTTCAAGCCTTCAAGTTCAAGTGAGACGTGGGGACACGTGGCGGAAGTGGAGCGAATCATGGCCGTTTGTTCGTGCGTTGTTGTGGATCACCTCTAATTACTTTTTGTTGTTGTCAACATTGTTAGGGAGAATCGATCGCAAAGCGAGTTAGAAAGATTCGGTAGGCGCTCGACACTCTCATCCCATCATCAATTTCAATGGAAAATTTAAAGTGGGAGTCTTTATAGACTCTTTGTCAAGAAAATTCTATTCTCAAGATAATCTTCTCGGTCTCTTCATCTAGTCATTATAGAGATCTAGTTTTCAGATACTTGCTCGAGGAATTAGAATGCCTAACTCGTCCGATTTATAGTGATTGCAGTCTAATTAAGGAGTTTTGTCGAACTTAGGGGGAATATCTAGTAGATACCAAGTTAAGCTTGATATACTTTATTTCCCTTAGTTGAGGAGCATTTGTCCCACTGAGTTTTGCTAACCTGACAAGATTTAGCTGGGCACCTAACCTAGGTTGGTAACGTTGAGCGTCGTTTGATTTCCTCAAACTTAGACTTTGCACTTCTCAGCTTTTTATATGAGACTTTTAACCTTTATCAATAGTTTTTGAGTTTATGTTTCCTTAATGCAATCTTAATCTAGATTCGTGTGTGTAATTGTATATGCCAATCGAAGACTTCAACAATCATCCAAGAAGACCCGATGCGACTGATTTTTAAGCTTTACACACTCAAGGGGGCGTGTTGTAGTTAATATTGTTTAAGAATGTGATTATGTAAATATAAAAATAGATTCCAATAGGAATAAAGGATATCTAATCCCTTTATGACTTGCATTACTTGTGAGACAAGTAAAGGCCACCTAACTAGTGTAAACAAAGACATAAAGCTAACAAGGAGCATGAGTGAATAGAATCGCTAAGCTCTCTCTTTTCTCTATCTCTTGCCGTCCCTCTCCTACTTTCACTCTCTAAATTTTTCTTCAGCAATTCACTAGTTTTTGTTCAAATGACAATGCTTTGACTAGAAAACAAAATTGGAAAAAGTTTTGAGGAAAGAGAAGGTTTTCTTTCTTCTATTTTTGATTTCGGTACAAGTTTTTTTTTTTTTTTTTGAGGTCAAAGGTGGGTAATAATCATTAAAACGAAGTCCAGATAGACGAATTACATCGTACATAGCCTTAGAAGGAATTGACATACAGAAAGAAGACGCCTGTTATGCAAACAAAGCATGACAAAATAGTACATGAAGCCTAAGAAGATTAGTCCTCGACCTAAAGCCAAAGGTGGCTAGTAAGAAAAGCCTAGGTGCTAGATGACCCGCCATAGCTACCTGGGAACCAGAAGTAACCGACAAATCACACCACCAATTCCGCACCATAAATTAACACTTGTTCATCACTACATCATGCCATACAAAGACCTTCAATAGCCCTAAATAATAAACAAAGCTAAACCACCAACATACACCGTCCAAATACCTCAAGCAAAATTGAAATTTATCACTAATTAACATACAAACCGAAAGAAGCAGCCAAATCGCAACTATATTCATCGTCTGGGACCAGCAAGAACATAGTTTAACATCGACAAAGTAGGACATGAATTCAAAACCATGGAAGGAGGTGGGGCAGAGCTTAGCTCCAAAATCAAGGTCTTGGTTTTGCACGCCTTCACCTGAATGAGCAACGATTCGCTCTTAAGATGTGTAGCAGCACATAAGCATAACTGGACTCCTCAATCGAAAGCGAGCAAATTGATGACAAAAGATAAAGGGTTGGATCTGTAGTTTGGATTAGGGATTTGAGGTTTATCTGGGGCTAATGAAAATCTGTTACATAAAAAGGGAGAAATTAAAAGATAACCAAAATATGGCAAATAAAGTTTCCGAATTGAAAAGTTTCTAAAGCCCACAAAGATCGATAGTTAGATATTGGAGCACACCACCATATGAGAGCGCTTTAATCGGGGGTGGGATAGGCCGGCACACAGCCAAAAAATAGCCCGGCACCTAGGGAAGTCTCTCCAGCCCACAGGATTGCCTGGCACCCAGCCCAAAATTGACAAACCTTGGGACCGGCCCGTATGACTCCATGCTGACGTTAAGGATGGAAGGAGCCACGGAGGGAAAACGCAAATGGCCTGAAAGTGATGGCCCAAGTTCGCCAGAAAATTTAAAAAAAAATGCACCGACAATATGTTTGCATCAATACAAAGGTTTCCAACACGATTTATATGTTAGAAACCATAAGAATAGGATTGAGAACTTACCCAGGTGAAATGCAAGAGATTTCATCGAGATTGGACCTTGAACTCGTCGGAGTTATCCGTTTTCCTTTGTCGAAATCACATGCAGGGAATTAAGCCCTCGAATTAACCACAAAAATTGCAACACAACAAGATTTAAAGCTCAAGAACACAATACAGTGATAGAAACATCACCTGGGTTAGAGATTGAAAGCTCAAGCTCTCGGCTTCAATGGTAGGACCTTGCACCATGCACCGATGCCACATGCAAGGCCATAGTTGGGTTCCTTGAGCTCTAGGGATTACAAAAATAATATTTTGTGTTTGATTTGTTGAAGGTTTTGAAGAGGAATGAGAAGGATAGCTCATGGGAGTGAACTAGAAAAGAGAGAGATAGGGAGAGAAAATGATAGAGAGAGGAAAAGAGAGAGAGCGAGAGAGCCGGTTGGCGATGTAGAAGGAGAGTATAGAGGGTTCTAGTGGAACAGTGGATGTTCTTGACTTATCTTTTTTTTTTTTTTTTTAATAAAATTATTATTTTTATTATTTTATAATAACAAATAATAATATTTTAATAAAATTGATTAGGCTATTTTTCTTTTAGGGGTGGATATACATTTGGTCTATTACTGTTTATTGGGGTCTATCACTGTTCACTTAGTGGATAAATGTGCTGGGTGCTAGCACATTTGTGTTAGAGATGGAAGTAAGAGATGGGGCAGGGCACCATGTTTGGGGAGATAGGGCAAGCTACCATCTTGAACGAGATGGACCAAAATACAGGAAGCAATAAGGGAAAATAAAAGGGGAGGGAAGGGAAAATAAAAGGAAGAGAGAAGGGAGAAGGGAGGGGAAAACGGGAGAGAAGTGATGGATAAGAGGAGGTAGCAGAAGGGAGGGATGAGAGAGAAGGGGGGAGGGGAGCAGACTGGAAATGGAATAAAAATGAGGGAGGAAAGACAGGGATGGTGGGGGAAGATGACACACCCCGATCGAGATCAGGGCATGCTGGCCGTCACGTGGAAGTGACGTAACCATGTGCACAGTGCGGAAGCTAATAAAATAGTAATAAAAAATGTACGAATAAATAAAAACTAGCATACAATAGGTAATAAAAACAAGTGCTAGCGTAAGTGAGACACGAGTTCAGAGCGATAAGCCTACAGCAGTCCAAATGAAAAATGACGAGACAACAGTACACCCGAAGGTGGCCCTACGCTGGTGATTGTCTGTCAGAAATGCCGGGAAAGCCCTCTGGGAAACCACCGAACCTGCTAGACAACTAGAACCTGGAGGGGCGCAAAACAAAAGCGTGAGTGGGCAAAAACAAAGCTTTTCGAAAACCATTTAACAAAATAAGTTCTAACCCCTCGCCGTAAAACCTGTATACTTCCCAGAAAATAAACATATGTATGTATATATAGATATGTCAATCATGCTCAAGAATATGCCATGTCGGAACCTCAGAATGAAATGCAAGTGCTCAGGTATAAAATCATATCAATAACATATAATCTGGCAGCCGGAGTCACCTAACGTGACCTGTATGGCTGCATATAGAGCTCAAATCTCAATATCAATAACTAAACCTGCCCACGAGTCGGAACCACCTAAAGTGGTCTGTACGACAGGCCTGGGTGTAATACATATAAACGCTCTAGTGCTATGATCACGTGAAGGCTGTGCGAATAATCGCGGGTCACCTACGAGTCGGAACCACCTAAAGTGGTCTGTACGACAGGACTGTGCACCTAACTTGGATCCAAGCTGAGCGTGTGGTGCGGGAGGTGAACAACACGTGAAGGACTGTGCTCTACTCTGGGCGAGATCACTAACACCGGGGGTGCAGGTTATGAGCTCTCTAAGCATCTCGAATCACTACTGAATGTAAACGTGAATAGCACTTACCTGGCACTTACCTGTGCGTCCGCAGCGCCCAACATGCATATGAATATATATACAACTAATAAAGCAACTAACGATGCATAAATAACGATAATCTAATACATGGCATATGGCAAATGACAATTCAAATTAATTTCTGGGAAAATATAAGTATATAGGTATATACGGAAAACCAAAAGCCCACTTAGTGGTAAGTGGAAGGGTTGTAACCCCCCTGCCTCGAGTGACCACGCTCGTCCTCGGGATACGTCTCACCTATATGCGAAATAACTATAAAAACGTTAATTTTAAAGCACATAACCAACCTTTAGAAATAACTTCTCATACAATGCTTAAATGGGGCAAATGAATACACCAACGTGATCTACTCAACGTTAGGAACATCCCCATATTTTTAAAATAATTTTTCACCACCGCACACGCCCTCACGCGCCGGCCAAGGCACGGCCACACGCGCCGACCACGCGCAGGCACGTGCTTGGCACGCTGACGGCGTCAACTGACGCCGTAGGGAATATTCCGTCAGTTTTAACAGATTCCGTCAACGGCGTCAGGAATATTCCGTCATCTTCTTCGGCGAGCCTCCGGCGCCGGAAAATCGGGAAAACTTTAAACTTCGATATCTTCTTCGTTTTTCACCCAAATTTCACAAAATTGGTACCAAAATGAAGCTTAGAACTAGAGGAACACAATCATACTACTTTCAAGGGTTAAAAACCACGAAATCTCACCTGAAAATTCAACCCAACTCCGGCCAACTTCGAAACTAGTGATCCCGACGTCCAAATCCTTCAAACGAACCACTCCGAGCCTCCTTGGGACCTCACCAAGCTACCTACAAGCTTGAAATTC